ACTGCTTCCTTGGGTGGTATGGAGGTGAAAAGCGAGCACACGTCATACGAAGTGATGGTTTCATCATCCTCTACATGAATGTCTTTGATTTTGTTGACAAAGTCGGCACTATTCTGTACATGGTGCTGAGATTTCCCCACTAGTGGTCCTAAAATCTTGGCTAGAAAACCTGCTAACTCATAGGTGACAGAGCCTATACTGGAGACTTCCATCGTGCAGACAACATTGTCACTTCAGACCAAGCCAAAACGGACGAACATAGACACCTCCGAGGTGCCCTGGCTAAATGTGGCTACCAAAACTGGACTTTCAACAAAGCGCTCAAACCTTCAGATCAGTCTAAGAAAACCCAGAAATGCAAACCTTTGACCAACAAAAACAAGGCCAACATCACTATTCCGTATGTCCAAGGAGTATCTGAGAAACTCCGACGGATCTTCCAAAACTTCAACATAGCCACTAACTTCAAACCTCACTCAACCCTCAGACAAAGACTGGTACACCCTAAGGACCGACCTCACAAGGGTACCAAGGCGAATGTTATTTACAGACTCAAATGTGAGGAGCCCAATTGTAACAACACCTACATCGGAGAAACAAGTCGACCGCTTAAAGTAAGGTACAAAGAACATTGCAGACCTAGTGCCAACGGCTACTCCTCAGCTATTTTCCACCACCTACAACACAACCAGGGTCACTCTTTCAAACTCGAGTCCACGGATGTCTTAGACCGCGAAACACGCTGGTGGGAACGGGGTGTTAAAGAGGCAATACATGAAAGAATGTACAACCCCACCCTCAACAGGGAAGGGGGGCTACGGGTCGATCTTTCCGGCACTTGGGATTTGGCACTCCCAGCCCCGAGGACAGACAACACTTAAGCTCCTGTCCTGTATAACAGGAGCTTTCAGACTAATTTGCATCATCTTGTCTTGACTTGTCTGACTTTTGTTCCTTTTTCGACTTCCAAAAATTTGTCTTCACTTTATTTGCATATCAATCAACAGGTTGTGTATATAAACCTGCTTTCCCCCTGGTCTCTCAGTCACTGACGAAAGCTAGTGGATACTAGCTGAAACGTCTGACGTTTTCAAATCATATCCAGTTGCTTGAGTAACTGTTTTTTGGCATACTTATTCTACATGTTCTTTCATATTTAATATAAAAATTCTTTATGAACTATAATACAGTTTTGATAAAGTATTGCCTAAAGTTATTCATGAAAGAAATGAAGAAAGGAAAATGTGATTATCAGGTACAATTGTATAAATGCTACATTTTGCAATTATTGCAGACCAAATGTTTGTTTTACGCTGTTGTTAAACATATATTTATCGTCGTTATTTTTAAAGCAATATGATACCTGCCGCCAGGAAAGGGATGTTGGTCTGTACATTTTTAGCTGTTTTTCACTGGATGGTAAGGTACAAAGTACTTCGTGACATTTGCGAAAGTACAACTAACAAGGCTCCCACGACGTCATACGTTTATGATATGATAATGCCCTATCCCACTAACAAAATCGATGACATGATCTATCAATCTATCCATATATCTATCTATCCATCTATCTATCTATCTATCTATCTATCTATCTATATCTATCGATCTATAACTCTCTATATAACTCTATAGATATCTTTATATATATAGAGAGAGATAAATAAGTAGATAGATATCTACATCTAGATATCTATATCTATCTATCTCTATATATTTATATCTATCTATCTATCTATATCTATCTATAACTCTATCTATCTGTCTCTCTCTCTCTCTCTCCCTATCTATATCTATATATATATATAATTTATGTATCTATCGATATATAGATAGATAGATATAGATAGATAGATAGAGTTATAGATAGATATATATATAGAGAGAGATATATACAAACGAAAAAAAAATTAAAAGGTAAAGACATGAATTTTATGGGTAGATTATTCGCCATGCCACAGTGTCATCTCGTAACCTTTATGACTATGTAGAATTCATGATGAGAGCAACTTTTTTTGCCTAACATTTTTTTTTGCATGCTCGCATCAATTTTAGGGTTCCCAGACGATGCCATCAAAAAATCCAAAAAAATACTCATTTTTCTTGGATTGGATTATATTATTTGATCATAATGACAGTCTTATCGAAACAGTGAAGGCAATGCTAGTACTTCCTCATAATTATGCAAACGATGTAATAATTTGAATAAATTTTATTCATTGGTGTCACCTTAACCTACCTTTAAATTTGGCAAGTATAAACTACTAACTTTCCACTATAACATTACAGCATTTTGTACATTAGGTCTTATTTACATAATTTATATATGCTTATCTCTTTTCAGAGCATCATTACGTCTTTGACTTAAACAAACCATGTCGTTTTACAAGCAACCAAAACACCAACAGTTTCTATTGCCAGGACTTATGGCCCCAAGTGGTCTACTTTCTGGTAACCACAGTTCAGCTGTATGTTGACTTCTGGCAGCTGTGACAGGACAAGGGAAGAATGTCTAACCATCACGGCGGTCGGTTACCAGGCTAGAAGTCGCATTACTTAGGGAGGTTTTGGGTTACCAAACACGTTCGAACGTGGCCGGCCCGGCCACGGGGTAACGGGTAAGATTAAAAATAAAGTAATTGGAAAGTGAATACTTGTCAAAATAAAATGTAACAAGTGATTTTCTTTACCTCAAATGTTATTCCTCCACTGCCTTTGCTCAACTTTTTGTACATTTGCTTCCAAATAAGATCAATTTCGGATTTCAAAAATGCTGCACAAGAACCAAACGAATGATTTTAAGGGGCCCCGAATTTTAAAAAAAATCAGTACATTTATTAATATTACAGTACATTTAAACTTTCTGTCTTGGTTAATAACTAAAACTTGAATTACTTGAAAACTTGAAAAACTTTAAATACCGATAATTCATTATCACAGCCACATTTAAAAGAATTCTATGACAGAAATCTACGATGAGGTAATTTGAACGATTTTTGGGAGTGGTTAAAATACCATGTCTACACGCATGTTATTCTACTTGGATATGGGGACCTGGATTTTATAACAGCGTAAACAAGAATTCTGACTTTCAATGTCACCCACGAAAACAGCAGTAGCTTCGATACATGTCACACATCCACAATAAAATAACGGCATAGATGTTATAGTTTGAAAACGCTTAATATTTGTGAAAAGGTGGATTTTTCATGTTCCGTGGTTTCATAAACGGCTTGAAGTAGCGGGTTGTAGCGAGATTTCTGTAAATGACGGAGGGTACGTAACCCCGGATCGAACACCCGTTCTGTTCGAATGACGTCATACCGTACAAGATTCGCGGGTTCAGGGGGTTCGATCTCCATAATAGCAGTGTGGATTTGACCATCGTGCATGCACCAGCTAGCTTCAAGCTTGTTCTACTTAAAATTTATACATAAATTTGACATCAAAATCAACTTGAACAAACATAATTACTTAACATACCTGTACTGTCATTTATTGTGCAAAAAAAAAAACTTTCTGGCTCACAGTGACCCTGGCCGGTTTGAATACAAACCGATCAATTTTGTTGACTCTGTTACGCATATGGTACAAGTACTATTGTAAGAAAACTAAGATAAATAGGCTAGTGATTGAGAGTGATTGAGAGTGAACAGAGTGACAGAGAATGACCAGAGTGACTGAGAGTGAATAGAGTGATAGAAAATGACTAGAGTGATGGAGAATGACCAGAGTGATTAAGAGTGAATAGAGTGATAGAGAAAGACTAGAGTGATGGGGAATGACCAGATGGATAGAGAATGACCAGAGTGATAGGGAATGACCAGAGTGAAAGACAATAACCAGAGTAATGGAGAATGACCAGAGTGATAGAGAATGGGTGGACTGATGGGGAATGACCAGAGTAATGGGGAATGGTCAGAGTGATGGGGAATGGCCAGAGTGATGGGGAATGACCAGAGTGATAGAGAATGACCAGAGTGATGGGGAATGACGAGAGTGATAGAGAATGACCAGAGTGATAGAGAATGGCCAGAGTGATAGAGAATGCCCAGAGTGATGGGGAATGACCAGAGTGATAGAGAATGGCCAGAGTGATGGGGAATGACCAGAGTGATAGAGAATAGCCAAAGTGATAGAAAATGCCCAGAGTGATGGGGACTGACCAGAGTGTTGGGGAATGACCAGAGTGATAGAGAATGACCAGAGTGATGGGGAATGACCAGAGTGATGGGGAATAACCAGAGTGATAGAGAATGACCAGAGTAATGGAGAATGACCAGAGTGATAGAGAATGACTAGACTGATGGGGAATGACCAGAGTGATGGGGAATGACCAGAGTGATAGAGAATGACCAGAGTGATAGAGAATGACCAGAGTGATAGAGAATGACCAGAGTGATAGAGAATGACCAGAGTGATAGAGAATGACTAGAGTGATGGGGAATGACCAGAGTGATAGAGAATGACCAGAGTGATAGAGAATGACCAGAGTGATAGAGAATGGCCAGAGTGATGGGGAATGACCAGAGTGTTGGGGAATGACCAGAGTAATAGAGAATGACCAGTGTGATAGAGAATGACCAGAGTGATAGAGAATGACTAGACTGATGGGGAATGATCAGAGTGAAGGGGAATGACCAGAGTGATGGGGAATGGCCAGAGTGATGGGGAATGACCAGAGTGATAGGGAATGACCAGAGTGATAGAGAATGACCAGGGTGATGGGGAATGACCAGAGTGATGGGGAATGACCAGAGTGATAGAGAATGACCAGAGTGATAGGGAATGACCAGAGTGATTGAGAGTAAACAGAGTGACAGAGAATGACCAGAGTGATTGAGAATAAATAGAGTGACAGACAATAACCCGAGTGATTGAGAATGACCCGTGTAACTGAGAGTGACTGCGTGATAGAGAATGACCCGAGTAATTGAGAGTGAACAAAGTGATAGAGAATGATCTGAGTAATTGAGAATGACCCGAGTGATTGAGAGCGACTAGTCTTGGCACTTGGCCCCGTGTGGAGCAAAGGCCACCGCGACGATTTCCCTCCATCTAGCTCTGTTCTGGGCTTCTCTCTCAATTTCCTTCCAGCGCATTCCAATTTCAGACAGCCCCCTCTCCGTGTCTTGCCTCCAAGAGTTTCTGGGACGGCCCCTCCTTCTTTTCCATCTGAGGTTCCAGGACAGAGCTTGCCTGTTGGTGCTGTAAGCTGGCTTTCTGATGGTATACCGGATCCAGCTCCACTTCCTTCTCAGGATCTGTATGGCAACCGGTTCCTGTCCAGCCCTGCTCCACAGATCTTCATTAATGCATTTCGGATCTTCTCTGGCCATCTGATGCCGTAGATGCGCCTAAGGCAGTTGTTAATGGACGTCTGTATCCTGTGTTGTGACTTGTTCATTCTCCATGCCCGTATAGTAAGAATGACTTGACGTTAAAGCTAAAAATGCGTACCTTGGTGTCCATGTGGATTTCCCTGGAGGCCCAGATGTTTTTCAGCATGACAAAGGCTGTTCTTGCCTTGCCCATCCTGGCTGAGACATCCTGTTCCGTGCCTCCATGCTGGTCCATCACACTCCTCAGGTACACAACAGACTCCACTTCCTTGATGGTCTCTCCCCCTACGGTAATAGCTATTTTTGTGTTGTTGTTGACCTTCAGGACCTCTTGTTGATCTTAAGACCAACTTCAGCAGATGTTGCGTCCAAGCGTGTAGTATTGTCTTGTAGTCTGTCTGTGGTAGTGAGAAAGAACTGTATTCCCTGTAGCCATTGGATTCCGTTTTTCCTACTCTGTGGTATTCTTCAGGATCCAGTCAATTGCAAGAATGAACAGAAAGGGTGACAGTATACATACTTGCAGTACACCTGTCCTTACTTCAAAGCTGCCCGACAGTTGTCCTGCGTGGGACACTCTGCATGTCATGTCCTTGTATGTTCCTTTGATTATGGATATGATCTTCTGGGGTATTCCATAATGCTTGAAACCTATTAAATAGGTTCAGCTGGAAGGATGCCTGTGCATCCTCGTTCCTGAGCAGACCCACGTTGAATCTCCCACGGGGCTTGGTGGTTCTCTTTGGTTTGTGATTCTCGCAAGGAGGTGGTGGTCTGATGGCACATCGGCCCCTCTCATCACTCTCACATTCTGCAGAGATCGTCTAAACTTCCGGCTGATGCAGACATGGTCTATCTGGTTCTCGGTGACATGGTCCGGGGATCTCCATGTGGCCTTGTGTATTCTCTTGTGGGGAAATATACTACCGCCTATTACTACTAGATTACTACTTGACACAGGTCAGCGAAACGATCCCAATTCTCGTTCATCAGACCCATTCCGTGTGTACCCATGATTCTTTCGTAGTTAGTATTGTCGGATCTTATCTTTGCATTGAAGTCTCCTTTGAGAACTGTGATGTCTCTCTGTCTTGTTTCATACAGCACTGTTTCTAGCTGATGGTAGACATCATCTTTCTTCTCCTCCTCAGCGTCGTTTGCGGGTGCGTAGCACTGGATGACGTTCAGGTGGATTTTGCTTTCCCCTGTGGCAAACTTGGCTGTGATGATACGGGAGCTTACTGGTTCCCAGCTGCCAAGTGCCCGCTGTGCCTCCCTCGGAAGCATCAGGGGTGCATAGAATGGTCAGATTGACAGAGAATGTTAAGAGTGAACCAGAATAGCAGAGAAAGACCAGAGGAATGGAAAATGTCCAGGGCCAGGGTGTAGTAGAAAATACAGTTATAATGTAGAGGCAACAATAAGTTTTAACCACTGCATTTGTAGTGTAATATTACATAGGGTAATGTTATAGGAGTAATACATTGTGTGCCATCACCTGTTGTGCATATGTGTATTTGCATACATGTGACTGGGCAAATACGGAACTAACCAATATCAGACACATGTACTTCTGTCATGCAAGGAGATAATATAAAGTGCTAAAAACAAACTAGTAATCAATGATCATGCACTTGATGATCCTTGACCTTGAATTTTTTAATCTTTTTTTTTAAATCAAACTATTAATATTTACAATGTTACATTAAAAAGAGGTACATAGTTGACATACATGTACAATCGTGTGGGATGATACATAACAATCAAGGACAGTTTTTTTTAAGGTAACGTCATCTGGGGATTGTCTATATATAATGATATCACATAAAAAGTTCCCATTGTTCATTGTGTTTTACTTCTAAAATTTGATTTAGTCTGTGCTTGAAAACTGAGAGTTTTGGTTTGGAATTTGTTATGAAGCATGTGTATATACAATATTTAGCGCTGAGAAGACAGTGTGCAAGTGCACTAACATGGCTAGGGTTATCAATTATGCCATAAATAATCATCATCTCGTCTACGATTAGGTCTTGTTTGGTACATCGTTTCCACCAGTAACAAAACTCTTTCCAAATGTTTTTTTTCTTCTTTACAATACAAAAATAAATGTTCGATAGTGTGCTTATCTGTGCAATTGTTACATTGATCTGTTCGTACCAGATTTTATTTTCTTAGCCAACTATTTGTAGCCAGGTAGTGATGGGTAATCTTATACTGAAAGCATTGTAATTTGGTTTCCCTTGTAGCGACAAAGGCAGCAGTATAGGCTCTCTCGATGTTGTCTTTACCAATTTTGTGTATAATTTCTGTTTCTATACTTGGAGGCACAATTTTTTTCTGAATAAGAATATTATATAATTGTTTGCATGTTGTTGTTAAGGGATGTATCTTTTCGGTATATTCAATAATGTTGTTAGGGGTGCATTTTCTTCCATTGTTTTTTATTATCTTTCCACTTTTTAATGACGTCATAATTGCGTCATATTACGTCATAACGACATAAAAATGTAGAAATGATACATTTTTACTAGTATACCATCCTCTAAAAATTTGGCGGTCATACGACATACCGTTCGCGAGTTCGGATGGGGGGGGGCAAATGAGCACCCCCCTCGTCCCACCAAGCCCAAAAAAGCCCGGTCTAGGTAGGGTTAAAGATTTCGCCAGAAAGTCCCCTGCAGTTTCCTAACAAGCTGCTAGGGGTACCCGGGTACCAAACCCACGCCACTTATTCCTGACAGAAAAAGCTATCTGTCGCAAAAAAATCAAGACCATAGCATATTCAGCAAAAAAGATACAACCCGAAAGTTCTGCTGCAGTACCAAGGTCATCCACCAGGAGGCCCATATTAGACCTTAAACTTTGTCTTCCTAAGATCAGCATACCAAATATCATACCTACCCATAAAGGAGTTATGAAGGTATGCTGACTACAAAATTGCGGAAACATACGTATACACAGACACACACACACAGACACACACACACAGACACACACACAGACACACACACAGACACACACACAGACAGACACGCCAAAAAAAGCTCCATTTTTCATGGAGGTAAAAAATTTCCGGCAGAAATGACTGATGCTGGAAAAAAGACCCAAGCCTTGACTATACCCGAGTAAATTATAAAGAAAATTCTAGGATTGAAATTTTTTAAACTGTCCACGGCGCGACGGGTTGCAAATCCACTCTTAGGAAGGCGCAGAGCGAAATCTTGATCAAACGGGCGGATTACACTTGGCGCGCAATGATACCCGGAAGTAAGGTTTGGAGCCAACGAAAATTTTCACCCCAGAATCACCATTTCTTACACTCTTCAGCCATATTAATTTTTAATGATATTTCGTGGCAGTTTATGAGAAATGTCACCTCAAACTTGGACCCTCAAAACCCTTTCGTCACTTTTTACAACGGACTACCAAGGACCCAGAACTGGGGTGTGCACCGGGGTTCTCTTTTTTCAACACGCTACCTTGCGTGTTTTTATCAAATAACAATGAATGCATTGCGAGGTACCCGAATAGCGGTTCGGTTGGTTTCATATAAACAAGGCCTAAGTTGAGGAAGCATTTAGTCCTTTTCACCCTTCTAATGCTGCTCATACCAACGGACCAGTACGTGTGCCCGGTTAATATGCAAAGTAAACCGGCCATATTGCATTACGTTTTAGATTAAAGTCGGAATACGCCAAAGCCTGTTTGAAATCACCCCCGGATGTGGCAACTCGATCGCTTCAAGTAAGGCACCAAGACTTTCAACTAACTAGGAGATTTCCTTCGTTATCAGGTTCGCTTTTAAACCTCCTTGATGTAACGTTTTTATCAGCCCTGCTAACACAAGCCTCCGGATCCTTTGATATTACAGCCCCACCCTGTCCAATCTTTGAAAACTGTCGGGCATGCAGCCTCACTTTAGGAAAATTTGCCACGATGCCGTCTTGCGATGTTCTCAGCAAAAACAGACGAATGCCTGAATCAGAACACTCTATAATTCTGGTGATTTTTCGGAAATCGATGACAGAACCTTGATAATACTAGTTGGTAACGATTGTGGAAAATTGTTGATACCGTGGCGCGCGCGTGCCGACGATACACATTACGTGTTTACCGCGTTTGTAACTTTGTTTACTTGCGGGGCGCAGGTCATTGACCTCCGGCTTGCGTTGTTCCAACAGAGGGAAACAAAATGTCTGGCAATTTTAGCCGCAGATTTTTGTTTTTTAAATCATATACAGGCATCCACGAATCTATCATTCATCCAACTAGTTCTTAGTTAGGTGAAATGTTTATTGGAATGACACGAATCGGTATCAAATATCAAAGTATCAAAAAGTAAACATCAATCGCCCACAGCCGAGACCGCGTGGACCCGCCGCGGTGATAATCCGCCGTATTGTCCACAAATCGTCAGCAAATACGTGAAAATGAGGTGAAATAAGTCTCATGTAAATGTCAAAAAAACAAAGGCTGCTCATTAACGGCCAAAATCTCGCCAAATATTTCTTACGCAGAAGAAGTTTCGCAGAAGCGTTTCTCATTACCAGTGGACAGTTCTGAACATTCTCCCACATGACGTCCCGCACTCTCCCGCAGAACGTCCCGCACTTTCCCGAAGGACATACCGCACTCTCTCGCAGGATGTCCTGCACTCTCCCGCAGAACGTCCCTCGAAAATTGATGCGTATTTACCTCCATAAAAATTAAGGTATTGTTTTTGGCTTGTCTGTGTGTGTGTGTGTGTGTGTGTGTCTGTGTGTGTGTGTGTTTGTGTGTGTGTGTGCCTGTGTGTGTGTTTGTGTGTGTGTTTGTGTTTTCGCACATTTGTAGTCAGCATAACTTCAGAACGCCTTTATGGATTGTGATGATATTTGGTATGCTGGTAAGTTTTAGGAAGACGAAGGTCTTTTGGTGGCAGATAGCTTTTCCTGTCAGGAATAAGTGGTGTTGGTTTGTTCCCTCCAGCAGCTTATTCTGGAACTGGATGGGACTTTCTAGCAAAATCTTTAAAAGCCAATAGGTCTAGATAGGCCAATTATGCAAATGATTACCTAATGTGTATAATAAATTTTGAAATTTTTGAAAATTACGATTTTGAAATTTTCAAAAAAATTAAAAATTTTTGAAAATTTGAATATTCTAAAAAATTGAAAATTTCAATTTTTAACCTAGGTAGCTCCACGGAGGTAGAAAAAATTGCCACAGATCTGCACTAATTACCTCCATAGAGCTACCTCCATGGAGCTAACTCAATGGAGGTACAAAAAAGTCAGCCGCAGGTCTGCACTAATTACCTCCATGGAGCTACCTCCATGGAGCTACCTCCATGGAGGTAGAAAATTTCAGCCGCAGGTCTGCACTAATGACCTCCATCTATCACGTGTTTATTCACTTAAGAAAAAGCGTTTAATAGAGTATAGCATGATGCTCTTTGGGCCACAATGGAGAAAAAAGCTTATCAAAACCATCAAAGAGCTGTTTGACAAGGCCAGCAGTGCTCACTGTACTAGTACGAGGCACAGCGGGGGAGTGATTTCACACATGAGTTGGATTTCGGCAAGGGTTACTCATGCTGTACAGTGGGACCAGCTTCAATGCCTTACTTTGTAGCCTCAGTTTTCCCCATGAAAAACCAACCCTACGTCTCTGGCCATGCTAGCTAGAACTAGGATGATCATTCCACGCCTGCCATTACCAAGTCTTTATATATCCAAGCAGGTGTAAGGTGTTAGCTTGTTTCATGCATAGTTTTGCAAAGTTTCAATCGTCTCCCGTACGCCTTCCCTTCTATCTAGTTAAACACGACATTTACTGTATTATTATGGGTTCACCACACCACGAAGTGGTGGTGAACCCATATTGCTTTTTCTGATGTTTCTTCTTCTTCTTCTTCTTCTCCTCCTGCCATTTTTTAAATGGATTCAGCTTCTTCATTTTAGGGCCTAAGGTCCTGAAATTTGGTATGGAGGTACAGTGGGCAAATACCCCTAGGCGTTTTTTAAATTTTTGTGATACAGGCTTTTAGAATGGTTTTATTTGAGTTTTTTGGCTGTGTTATAGCAAATGTATTACTGTGTTAGTCTGCCGTGTTTACCACGTCTGGGCATGAGTCATCACAATGGAATGAAGGGCATCAACCAATAGGCATGCAGCTTTCCTCTATACTTCTTGCTGATTGGCTGTTGGGATTTAACTTGATTAACAGGCTGCACAGAGCATTTCCACCTGCACAGAGCACTTCTTGCTGATTGGCTGTTGGGATTTAACTTGATTAACACCTGCAC